CCCTGTGAGGTAGATAAGTGTGTGTGAGACACTCAGCGCTCCCCACCCCCCTCGGGCAAAACAAAAAAAAGTACCCTTTTCCCCCCCCCCCCCCCCCCCCGCTTCTTTCTTCTTCCATTGAAGAAATGACAGATACACTGATCTGACAGGATCATTATTCACTACTGGAATCTCTCAACAGTGTCTTACAAATTTTGCTGCTCCCCTGGCAAAGAAAACAATTGCTATGCCAGAAACATAGTTTACCATAAAAACTTAATTGAAGTGTAGAGCTTCTGTATACTGAAGCACCTAACAAAAATAAGGTTGTTTGCAATGTGTGATAGTTATTAAAGTTCTGAGTGCCAAAATTAAAATAATGGTTGCACAGATGCTCTCTGTGAGAATTTGCTTTCACTTGTATTACATTTAATTGAGTATGGAAATGAATTAGAAGCTACTAATAACATAATAACCCAAAGGTAGCTTCACATACAATGCAGCCAGAAAGTTATGTATAGTCATAGCAACACAATTCTGTAAATGGTTGGCACTTGTATGCTACTCATCTCCCAAACATTCTATCACTCAAAGTTCAATGCTAAACTCTGTTGCTATCTGAACTCTGCATTTTGGACCAATAATGTCAATCCTAAGTTATCTCAGTGTTCCATTAGCAGTTAGGGTTTCAATACAATCATCAGCTTTGCTATCTGGAATTCTTTGAAGAATTCATAGATTGTATGGAATTTCAGAAGACCTTAGAAGCAAATCGTCTTAAGAGAGTCCCTGCCCCAGTGGACTGATTAGCAAGTCCAGTCTTATTTTTCTCTAGTAAACAACAGGACTAAAACAGAAATTTCTATTTACCATTTTTCTGTTTTTGCTCAAATACCACATTAAGTGTGGGACTTGCTGCTGCAATATTGTGATTCATTACATTTACTTCAGTCATACAATCATAAATCTGCTTTTGATCTTATTAAGTAAATAGAGGAACTAAGGATACCTATCTGCAGATCTCAAGAGTAGATTTGAAAGTTCACATAGATTATTGAACAGTGGAAGAAATGTACTAAGAAAATGCACTGTTTGATCCAACATTAGATGCAAACAATTGAATTCAAGGCTCAACTTGAGAAGGGTCCCAGTGAGGGAGGTAAGATTGTAGTAGACCAGAATAACTACTACTTCAACCTAGTGCCATCCTAATGATTACTACAGATTTCCACAGAATTCCTATGAATAACATCATGTAAGAATATGACTATTGATTCACTTGTTCATTATCTGCTAATGTCTACAAAAATACTATCATTGACCATCTCCATTAGTTAGCATTTTGGTGCATTATGCTACAATAATTCTATTGCTACTTTATTGTTAGAGATATTTCACAAGATATGCATCATGCTGTAACATATAAAGCCTTATACATGTGGTAATATAAAATCCACACCCCTCTCTTCTGAGATCTTAAGAACATAATAGATTAAATATATCATTCTTAAATCCATTTCTCTATTATTAAAAATATTACAATTATATTAGACACTATTTTGTATCCCAAAAACTTACATAAAGCTGCTAGGAGTAGTACTCCAACGTTTTCATGCTACTTATCTGTAACACATTAATTGGAGTGGCTTTTTAAACCAATTATTGCACAAGCTGTTAGATAGATGAATGCTGTGGTAGAATAGATGAAGGCAGTATATTTCTATTTTTCTTTTTATTAGGTGAGGATGATCTACTAAGTCCTCCCCGGGCCACAAGCACAGGGTTAGAAGAGGTCATGGAACAGCTTAACAGTTCCTTCCCAAGTATAAGAGGTAAGCATCATTATTCAGCAGGGCATGATACAAATATATTACAGACAGTGGATCTTTCTTTCAAATTGATATTAGATTCAGAAATGCATAAGTAAAAGATGAAAGTCTAAAAGAGAAGACCACAACTTTACCTCCATAAATATTATGATTAGCTGGAAATCATTATAAAATGTGTAGTCTTTGTGTTCTTTTAATCTTTTACATTTAATAAATTTATGCATTGGTACAATAATAATAAATAATACATGCATTACATAGTGCAAAAGTTAAAATATATTACTTATATATTGGGTAGAAAGGAAGTTGCTCTTTGAAAAATGAGAAAATTCCCACCACTCTATAGTTAGCTGGAGCTAGTAGTTTCAATAAATAACAATTGCTCCATTTCAGGTTTTTCTGTCACATCAATATGACTGCTCTGTCCATGAATAAAATTGTTACTATATAGTAATCATATACAAACTTATACATACATATAATATACAATTTCTGTCTGCATACTCTTTATTGTGCAATGAGGAGCATATTCATAGCAACTGCTACTCCTTTTCCCAGCTTTATGACAACTCATCGTTCTCAAAGCAAAAGATTTGATATTTGAAAATAAAAAATACTAAATATCAGTGTAGTGGTTTATGAACATTTTTAAGCTGATAGGTTATTTTATATTTTAAGACAGTTTGTTTAGCTTATGGGCCTTTGTGTATATTCGATATGGATCTTCCTCATAAATATGAATTTGAAAGTATGTTTTTATTGTTACAAGTTATATGTACAATTTATATTATGGTAAACTGGGATGAATTCACCATATATTGGCCCTAATCCAAAATAATTTTGAAATAAATGACACTATTTAACCAAACATATATTGCCCAATAATTACAATAGTTATCTTCAGTTAAATTTGGAGTTCAGTATTCCCTTATGCCTTTTTAATGAACTAGGTACTTGCGTTCTCAGGAAAAAAATATTTGGATTAATTAAACATCTTATGATCTTTATAAAAACTTAACAATTTATACATTTACATTCTATATGTTATTTTTTCCAAAATGATTTAAAATAACTTATGTAACTTTGTCCTTATATTTTTCACTGTCTCTTTTTAGTACAAAATATAATATAATATTTATTTGTGATTTTAAAAAGGTAATTAGGGGTAAAATTGATAGAAAGCCAACATTTTCATCACAAATCAGATTAGAACCTATGTACAAATGTTAAGCCAAATATTCATTTTCCATTGCTTGGATTTGTTGTTTTGTTGAATAAAAGGTTATGGATATAAATTTCAGAGATGAGAATATTTAATTGAATGTTGAACAATAAATTTTTTAGTAGAAATGTATAACAATATTTTTGTTAGCACTTTGAACTGATTTTCTGTAATCTACAGTATCTCTCATTGTTCTCTTTCTTCACACAGTAAATATATTGTGTACCATGGTTTAATACTTTTTATTATTGTAAGTAATTAAATATTTTAGCATAAAAGTTGACTTTTAAATCCAAACATATTTGGCAAAATAGAAAATACAATGTATTTTTCAAAGTTGTACAGGATCCATTAATGATATTGGAATTACATTGTCTTTTCCCAAATTAATGTCCTTTTTCAAAAGACTGATCTGAAGATGTGTATATCTGTTTCTTTATTTCAAAGGCTGACAGTAAAAGAAATGTGTGTATGGGAGGCTTACTTAAAAACAAAATTGTGTGGATTTAAATACTTTGCAGCCTTTTTTTAAAAAAAAACTGTTGTTTCAAATCTATGTTAATTTATATATTTTATGTGTGTGTGTGTTTTCATTTTCTTTTTGATATATCTAATATGAAGGAAGAAATGGCTCTGGAAAGCCAGTGAATGAGGTTAGTGAATTTGAAATGCCCACTGCAAGTGCTTCTCACTGCTTCATTCTCCTTTTGCCGGCGGGGGGGGGTGTCTGGCGCTGTGGCACAGCATGTGTGTTTTTCAGTACTTATTACAGGTATACTGTAATATGTAATACCTCTCAACTGTCAATGGATATAAAACTACTACCGTGTTTCTCATATAATAAGGCCGGGTCTTTTTTTTTTTGAGCCCTGAAAAATGGCTAGGCCGTCTTTTCAGGGGTGAATTAATTTCTCCCCTCCGTGCACCCTCTCCTAGAGTGCCCCGCGGGCAGCCACGCCTCGCTGTTCTCTCACCAGCGCTGGTGGGAATTGTGGAAGCTACAGAGGCAGCTCCCCCGCCCGAGAAGCGGCTGAAATGCTGCTGGTGGAGGAATGCAAAGGGAAAGCAACAGTGGCGGAGGAAGCAGCAGCGACAGGCACCGAAGATCTCATGATTTAAAGTGCCCTGTCAAGGCCGACATCCACGCCGCCACCCACCCACTGACCTGGCCTGCAACCAGCACCATACCTGGGGCTGCAGCAAAGGCACTTGGCGGGGCTTAAATTTGGTGGGAGGGACTTAATTTCATTTTATGCCTAGAAAACATGCTATTGGGGGGGGCCGTATTGTTGGAGAAACACAGTAGAAACAGAAGAAATGCATATTTTTCATAGGCTTCCTCCAAAAATGGGCAGAGGAATATAAAAATTAAACTGTTCCTATAAAATTGTTCAAATAAATTTTTCATAGTTAATCCTAACTTGATTTGCATTTTGAGACTCTAGCAGGTTTCTGTCTTATATAACTATTTGGAACATATATGTTCGAAATAATTAAATAGAATTATTTAGTTACGTTCTTTTCAAAGCAAGAGTTGAGAGGTATAAACAGCAAAGTCTTTCAGATTGCAAGTTTAATGTTTGTGCCAGCTAAATTGACACTAACACCACAGATTCAACTGTGTCATTTTAAAGTATGTGTGAAAACTCAGCTTATTTAGCTGTTACAAAATTGAATTTTAATCTGGTGAGAATGAAGGTTTATTATTACAGTCGAGGACTAGTTCATAACAAAAAGATGTAAATGGAAGCAGATTTTGCATTTTGTTGAATAGCCCAGTATAAATCTTGCTCCCCCCCCCCAATCTAAATATTTCATAGTTACTGTATGGAAAAATCATAGGAATTTCAACAATTTTATGTAAGCTCATAGCATTCTTGTTACTAAAATAGTTGATAGTTTACTGAAGGCATCTGCATATTTCCCACCAAATTAGATATTTAAAATGTGTAGTTTAATAAAGGAAAAGTTAAAAAATGTCAATGTGTCATAATACAACATAATGGAGAATTGCAATAGCCTTGTATCTAAATTTAACCAGTACTTATTACAGGTATACTGTAATATGTAATACCTCTCAACTGTCAATGGATATAAAACTACTACCGTGTTTCTCATATAATAATAACTGTCAGTGGATATATAAGAATATGTCTCCTATTTAAGAATGGAGTATGAGGCAGAAATGGAGTTGTAGGTAAAAAACAGTAAGTTTTGAAAAAATGATTAATATATTTTAAGAAGAGCATATATCTATATTATATTAATGGAAAAATTCCAGGGAATACAATTAAAAATAGTATCACAAAGTTAAAATGTAATTAAGTATAAATTAAAGAATATTTAAATAAATTATAATTTGTCTACATTTACAAAACATTTAATAATTCTTTATAATAGAAAACACCACAGTACTATATACAATATAATGTTGCAATGAAAATGGAAACTAACAGTTTCTTGATTTATTTTTTAAAAAGCGATTGAAAAATATTTTTGTATCATTCAAATTGCAGGTGCTTTAAAAGTCACATTAACATTCATTTGATTTATATACCACCTTTCATTCAGGATAGCCTGGCAGCATGACTTTTCTTTAAAGACAAAGAAAGTCCAGTTGCCTCTTGGTAAAGCATCTTTGGGACAACCATGACCTGGATGACTTGTGAATCTTCATAGGCATTTAGAACTGTATTTTTTTTGCAAACTTAGCTTAAACCCTGTAAGGGGGGGGTGGTGCTTTTTAAATGAAAATTTAGGTGCTCCTGGGCTGTGCAAAGTCTGAAAGACTTGTAACATTATTGAAGTATGTACAACTTTATTGGTCATCCATAAGTAGTGTGGTAATTTTGTTACACTGCTGTTCCAATTGAGTTGCTTCTATTTTTTTTTCAGATTGCACAATTTATGTGTTAGTTAGCGATAAAGGTTGAAAATGTAATTAAACTTTTTGCTCCCTTTTCAAATCCTTTGGAGCCTGCTCTAATTAAAAATAGGTGCAGTTTCTTTTCATTGTGAGAGAAGTGACATATAAGTTTAGGGCAAAGCTTCAAATAATGCATGAAATGTATGCATAGACAGTTAAGATACTTCTTCAAACATTTTAAACACATCTGTCAATCATTTCCATTCAAGTGTGATGATCAAAATATTTCTTCCTGTTTTTTACAGCTTAGTATTGTAAAAGGTAAAAATGTAATAGTCACAATTACTACTACTATTACTATTACTAGTAATAATAATAATCAGCAAGATAAACCATCTACTATACATGGATGACTTAAAAATGTATGCGAAAAGCCCCACTGGACTTAAATTAATACTCAACACAGTTCAGCTGTTCAGCAGTGACATCAAAATGAACTTTGGACTTGAAAAATGTGCTAAATCCATGCTGCAAGGAAAAATGCAAAAAATAGTAGGGATAGAACTGGGAAATGGAAACATAGTGAAAGCATTAGCAAAGGATGATGGTTGCAAATACCTAGGCATATTGGAAGCAGATAACATCTTGAATGGAAAAATCAAAGAGTCAATGCAAAAGGAGATCCACAAAATATTAAAATCAAAGCTGAATGCTGGAAACATAATTAAAGCCATGGGCTTTAATTAGTGATACGCTACTCAGCTGGAATCATCAATTGGACTGTGGCTGAACTAGAAAACCTGGACCAGAAAATGCACAAACTTTTAAATATGTACCACGCTTTACATCCATGAAGTGACATCGACAGGCTGTACCTGCCAAGAAAAATAAGGGGCAGAGGGCTATTGCAAATCC